ATTTATTTATTTATTTAAACTTCTTAATATACATTGTAGTTGATTTTCATGTTCCTTTACCCATTCCTCTTTCCCCCTCCCTCTATCCACTCCCCTCCCAACTACATCATATCCGTTCACTTGTCTTAACAATTTCAAGGAATTGTTGTGATTGTTGTGTCTTCTTCCCCCCACCACCATTTATGTGTTTGTATATTTATTTATTTTTATTTTTAGCACCCACAAATAAGTGAGAACATGTGGCATTTCTCTTTCTGTGCCTGACTTGTTTCACTTGGTATAATTTTCCCTAAGACCATCCATGTTGTTGCAAGTGGTGGTATTTCATTCTTTTTTATAGCAGAGTAGAATTCCATTGTGTAGATATACCAGTTTCCTTATACACAGCCAACTAATTTTGGAGCCAAGAACACACAATGAAAAAAGGACAGTCTCTTGAATAAGAAGTGTTGGGAAAACTAGATATCTACTTGCAAAAGAATATTAGACCCTTATTTTACATCATATAAAAGAACAAGTCGAAATGGATTAAAGAGTTAGATGTAAGACCTGAAAGTTTAAAACTGTTAGAAGAAAATACAGAGGAAAAGCTCCATGACATTGGTCTGGGTGAAGATTTTGAATATGACTCCAAAAGCACAGGCAACAATAGCAAAAATAGGCAAATGGGATTATATTTACCAGAAAGCTTTTGAACAGCAAGGAGACAGTCATCAGAGTGAAGAGATAACCTACAGAATGGATGAAAATATTTGCAAACCATACATCTGATGAGGGGTTAATCATTAATAACCTGTAAAATATGGGCAAAGAACCTGAATAGACATTTCTCAAAAGAAGGCATAGAAATAGGTAGCAGATACATGAAAAGGTGCTCAACATTACTAGCCATCAGGAAAGTGCAAATCAAAACCACAGTGATAGATCACCTCCCACCTGTTAATATGGATATTATAAAAAAGAGAAGTGGTGACAAGTGTTGAGGATACAGAGAAAAGAGAAGTTTTGCACATAGCTGGTGGAAATGTAAATTAGTAGTAAATCTGAAAAAATTAGAAATAGAACAATCATATGATACAGCAATCTCACTACTGGGTACAAATCCAAAGGATATGAAATCAATATATCAATGAAATATCTGCTTTCCCTTGTTCATTGTAGCATTATTCACAATAGCCAAGCTTTGGAATCAGTATCTGTGTCTAACAGTGGAAGAATGGATAAAGAAAATGTGGCATATAACCACAATGAAATACTATTGAGCCTTTAAAAAGAAGGAAATCCTATCATTTGCAACAATACGTATGAACTGGGGGATGTTATGGTATGTGAAGTAAACCAGGCACAGAAAGAATATTAGCACATGATCTCGCCTATTGTGTAAATTCTAAAAAGCTGAACCCAGACAAATAGAGAATAAAATGGTGGTTACCAGAGGCTGGGGTGGGGAATTGGAGAGATGTGGATCACGGAATACAAAATTTCAGTTACACAGAAGGAACAAGTTCAACAGATCTATTGTACATCATGGTGATTACAGTTAATGACAATATATTGTGTGGGGAAAATAGAATAGTTTAGTCAGGCTCCCTTGCCTCAGGTCCGGTTTAGAGTGGTGCCGCACATTCTTTGTAAACAAGTTGTGTGTGGGTGGAGTTAGTGAGCATGCATACCCATGTATCTTTTTGTTTTGTTGCTGTTCTTGTGTGTTCTAGAGTTTGTGGAGAAAAGGCCTGAACTGCTGGTCACAGAGAGCTTGCATCTTAAAAATAGAATATGTTTACTTTGCTGGCAGCGGCTCAGTTTTCCTTTGGACTTTGCTGGTAGCAGTTGAGTTTCTGAGTTTTCTCTTTGGACTGCCTAGCTCCTAGACATGTGTGTGCTGAATAAAGCTTACTATTTCTTCAACCGAGGCTCCAAGGACATTTTTCCTGTTACCTAGCTCGTAGACCTGCATGTGAAGGGTTTGTGACCCAGTCTGGACAATGGGCTTGAGGGTTCTGTGAGCTCCAGACCCAGCCCTAGCTCTACATATTGTATACTCAAAAATTACTGAGGAAGTAGATTTTAGCTGTTCTCACCACAAAATAATAAGTATGAGAGGTAAAGCACATGTTAATTAGCTTGATTTAGCAATTTCACAATATATACATATATCAAAACATCCTGTTTTACAACATAAATAGGTACTTTTTTTGTCAATTAAATAAATAAAATTAACAGATTAAAACAATAAAATAATAATTTTTTCCCAAGGCTTTATCCCTATAATAGCCAACATGTTTCAAGCATAGTTTACCAATCTGTGGTCTAAGTGCCTGACACTTACTATCATACTCAATATAGCCAACAACATCATGAGCCCAGGCCTGTAATTATCACCACTTGTAAGATGATCAAACTGAGGTTTGAAACTAGACATGGACCTCTCACCATATACTAAAATCAACTCAGAATGGATTAAAGACTTAAGTATAAGACCTGAAACTGTAAAATTACTAAGGGAAAATATAGGCGAAATACTTCAGGAACTAGGTTTGGGGACAGACTTTATGAACATTAGCCCCAAAGCATAAGCAGCAATAGAAAAAATAAAAAAATAGGACTATATCAAACTAAGAAGCTTCTGCACAGAAAAGGAAACAATCGACAGAGTGAAACAACAACCTACAGAATGGTAGGAAATTTTTGCTAACTATGCATCCGGCAAGGGATTAACATCCATAATATACAAGGAACTCGAGCAATTAAACAGTAAAAAAACAAATAACCCAATTAAAAAATGTGAAAAGGAGCCGAATAGACATTTTTCAAAGGAAGACATACGAATGGCCAACAGGTACATGAGAAAATGCTCAACATAACCAGTCATCAGGGAAATGCAAATTAAAACTACACTGAGATACCCCCTCACCCCAGTTATACTGGCTATAATCAAAAAGATGGTGAATACAAATGCTGGTGAAGGTGTGGAGAGAAGGGAACACTCCTGCACTGCTGGTGGGGCTGTAAATTAGTACAACTGCTATGGAAAACAGTATGGAGGTTTCTCAAACAACTACAGATAGATCTTCCATATGATCCAGTAATCCCACTTCTGGGTATATACCCAGAGGAATGGAAATCATCATGTCAAAGGGATACCTGCATTCCCATGTTCATCGCACCTGTTTACAATAACCAAGACATGCAACCAACCTAAATGTCCATTGATGTATGATTGGATAAGGAAACTGTGGTATATATACACCATGGAATACTACTCTGCCATAAAAAAGAATGAAATTCTCCCATTTGCAATAACATGGATGAGCCTGGAGAAACTTATGTTGAATGAAATAAGCAAAGCACAGAGGGATAAAAACTGCATGTACTCACTCCTAAGTGGGAGCTAAGAGAGAAAGAAGAAAGGAAAGAAAGACCACAGTGCTGCATTGGACCTGCAGATGGAGAGGGTGTACTTGGGCTACAAAGTGGAGTGGGAGGGAAAGGGGGAGGGGAACGGAGGATGGGGATAATTGGGGGGGACTCAGGGTACAAATGCAATTCATGGTAATGGGTATGCTGCCAGTATGAATCTGAGCTTCACATCTTGGGCATGAGGGATGACAGTCAGCTCTGTATCTCATGAATATTCATAACCAATAAAAAATAAAAGATAAAAAAATTTAAGAAACAAAGTTTAATTTAGTGTCCAAAGATGCACAGATAATAAAGGGGTTGAAAGATTCGACTCAGGCATTCTTCTCCTCTCCCTCCACATGAATACATTAACACATCAAGAATTAAGATTCACCAAACTTTAAATGACAAAACCCTTGTCACATACATATAAATTCAGTAAAATACACGTATGTATAACAAAAAGATGAAAGGAAAACACTATAGGTGATTTTGCTTCCTTCTATATTTCTGAATTTCCTCAGATTTTACAATGAACTTTGTTTAACTTTATAGATTAGCTTTCACTCTTATATTGTGGTTTAGCTTTATAGATTAAGCAATTTAAGATTATTTCTGTAAAGAAAAAATAATTTCTGAGTTTTTACAAGTCACTATTCTCAACAATAATGATACCTGCATGAGCTAAGGTATTTTGGAGCTTCTGCACTCAATGAATTTAAGTTCCTAATTTTTGTTATAAATCTTTCCACATTGATAAATGAAATGATAAAAATAAAACATATTTAGGCCAGCTAGAAAGGTAATTACATATTTTATACACCCTTTCCTGTAATATAGACATATATATACATGTACTCACATCAAGAATTTGATCTCCTTGCATTTCTTTTCATGTTTTAAAACACAACTGTACATCTGTAAGCCCACATTTTAAAAAAAATTCAAACAATATACACAACAAAATTCTCTCACTCATATTTTATCTCCACTCCTCATTTTAAACCTGGGTACTTTCAATTCTATTTTATTCATTTATTCATTTTAGGCATTGCAAAAATGCCCCATTTCACAAAGACTCTTTCAAAGTTTCCAAGTAGAAATGCCAGGCCCCTTTCTTTATCCTCTTCCACTATCTCGACATAGGGATTTATCATTATTAGTGCAATCAGTGTGAACTTTTAGGATGTGGAGTACAAATGCAGCCGTACATCTACTGTTCATCCTCACTAGTTGATCAAACAATTAAATCTTAGAGTACCATATTAAAGTGTGGTTGCATAGAGCATTTTGATTTGGGGAAGGAATAGTGAGAAGCAAGCCATGAGCCCTCCCTAGAGGGCAGAGAGTGTCAGCAGCACCACTTTCCCAGGACCCTCCTCAAGGCCTCCATGACCTCCTTATTCCTCAGGCTGTAGATGAGGGGGTTCAGGCATGGAGTGACAATTGTGTACAAAACAGAGATGATGTTGTCTGGGGTTGTGCAGGGAACTGGGCAGGACATATATGAAGGTGGCAGCTCCATAGAACATTCCGACCACAGTCAGGTGGGAAGAGCAGGTGACCAGGGCTTTCATCCTCCCTTCATCTGAGGACATGTGGAGCACAGTGTATAAGATTAGTGTGTAGGAGGCAACAATGGCAGAAAGGGGGAGTAAGAGGAAAGTCACACCTGTTGCATATACCATGAGCTCATACCTGGATGTATCATCACAGGCCAACTTCAGCAAAGGTGGAATCTCACAGAGTAGGTGCCTGATTTCCCAGGACATGCAGAAAGAAAAGTGCATGGTGTACATGGTATGTCCTAGAGCATTCAGGGATGCCAGGATCCAGGATGTGGCCACCATGATCCAGCAGACCCTCGGCCTCATGAGGACTGTGTAGTTCAAAGGATGACAAATGGCCACATACCTGTCATAGGCCATGAAGGCCAGTAGGAGGTCCTCTGTACCACCCAGTGTCAGTGCCAGGAACATCTGAAGGGCACAGCCTCCAAAGGAGATGGTGTTTTCTCTGCGCAGAAAATCCACAAGGGCCTTGGGAGTGACAACAGATGTGAACAGGAGGTCCATGAGAGAGAGCTGCCCGAGCAGGTGGTACATGGGCACGTGGAGCTGGACATCCATCGTGATGACCAGGAGCATCAGGCCATTGCTGGTCAGGGCCAACATGTACAGGACTGCGACTGTGGCACAGAGCAGTTCAGGGGACTGGCTGTCATTCAGAATCCCCACCAAGATGAACTCAATCCGCAAGGTGGAGTTCCAGAACTCCATTCTGAGTGATTCTCTTAGTTGCCCAGTACCAGATGGATTCTCAGTGAAAGCCTTTCTGGTGGAGTTTACCCTAGCTTCAGATTGTCCTAGCCCACTGTGGGGTGGCCAAAAGGAATTCTATGAGATAATACGTTTCCCTCTTGGTACCTAATTTTGTTTTGTCTAATTTGTGAATTTCTGAGTGTTTTTCTTTTTTTCTTTATTTTATGAAACTATGACAAAACATTAGCTAAGAAGGAAACAGTCATAATGTCAGAAATTGCTAATTGTTAAGAAATTCCTTTTTATGAGGTATTCTGGAGAACAATTCCAAGCAAACATCTTTGTACATAGATGAAGGTATCTCTCTCTTCATGATAAATACACTGGGAATTGGTTTAACATCCAGCTGGTTTTCTGCTTAAAATCTACTTGGGATTCCAATTCAGTTTTCAAAGTTTTGCTTGGAAAAATCCCTTTGTTGTCTTCTCCCCTACACCTTTACTCTCTGGTGTCACTGCTCTTGATAAATTCCTCAACAGAAAATTCTCTGGGTTTTTGGATCACTTGATCTCTTGGACTCTTCAACTGTCCTCACGTCCTTGATAAGCATTCTGCTGTTCTGCTGTGGGAAAGAAAATTCTGCACTGAATTGAACAGTTGGGGTGGTATAGATTTTGTAGGTAAATCTACAGGAAAAGTACAAAAAGTGTTTGCATATTTGCAGGTAATGGTAAGATGTTTACTCGGGAGGAGGCAGGAAAAAGGCAACAAATACATGAGACTTGTAGAGGTACGACAGGTGTTTGTGTTTACAGTATAGGATGAAAGGTGTGAGCTACAAAAGAGGAGACATTGTAGATAAGGCCCAAAGCCATCACGTTACATGAGAGTCACAGCAACACTCTGAACATGAATCTTAGCAATACGAGAAGGATGCTTATCCTGCGCAGGATACTCTGAACCCAGTAGTAGTGGCAGGGATTGAGGAGGAGAGAAGGACGAGGGTGTGGGGTGTGTGGTACAGCGTTCACTTAGCTTGCTCTGGATGGATGCAGATCTTGCACAGTTGGATGGAAGACTGAGGAGGCAGTCTGGAACAGAGAAGGAGAGTTCTTCATCTTTCTCTTGCATCAACTGCACCTACTCCTCCAATCTTTCATTTATGTCACCATTCTGGTCAACTCAGAGTTCGGACACTTAAGAGGTAGGGTCATAAAAACCTGAAATTGGAAGGCCCATAGAATCCAGCTCCTTTCATTCATTCACTCAATATTTTTAAAAGACCTACAATGTATTAGATACTGCACTTGTTGCTACGGCAATTGCATAGGTGTGAAAAACTTATCACATAGACACCTATGTACATCCAGTGGTGAAGTTTGATATATGAAGAAAACTATAAGATACTCTACAAGTGAGGTTTTAGGAAAGGATTTCTAGAGAAAGTGGTACATAAACTGTAGGCAGAGGATTATTAGGAGCTGGCTAAGTCAGAAAGGCTTAGAACATGATAAAAACAATTGGGGATAACATTGTGAAGGTCAGGACATGGACATGGAAATAAAGTACAAGAATGTCCTCTCTGCTCTTTTGCTGCAGTGAAGTCTGGTCAAGAAGACAGCCAGAAAAACGCACTCTTTGAAATCATGTTTGTAAGGTCACCGGGGAAGGAGATGCTAGCTGAGCAAAGGATGGAGAAAGGATTTTATGAGCAAAGAGCAAGCTGACCTGCTGGGCTGAGCTGAAAAATGGCATCAGTGCCGAGAGACAGTTGGGTGTCTTCTTTCATAGGCTTAAGATTAGAGTCGGGCCTAGCCAAGGAAGATGGTTACAATGTTCCATTCCGGTAGAGCTTGCTCAGAGGAATAGAAACTCAGGGAGACAGAAACTTAGAGGAACGAAACTGAAGAGTGGGGGCTTTCTAAAAGTCAGGTTCTCAGTTCCAGGGACCTAACAGTGTCTCATCATTTTGGGGGGTCTGAGATCTTTCTCCTGCCTTACAAAATTAAATCTGTAGGTTCAACCTCAGAAACATTGACTGGAAGACCTTTTTTGCCTGTTGACAACCAAAAGACAAATTCAAAGATAATTCTGAGCACTGTTCCTGGCAAATATGAGACTTGAAATGCTTTTTTTGTTGTTGTTGAATAAAAATGTGAATGGATAAGGAGACACAGGCAAAAAATATTAGCTAGGCACATTCCTCCAGGTTTCTGCACCAGGAGTTTGGACATGATTTCAAAGAGGAGAAAACACAGAGCTTGGGTAAAGTGGTGTAACTGGGACTCAGGATCCTGCCTACATGCCTCCCACCTCCAATTCAAGACGCTTGCCTTGGCTCCTTTTCCTTTCACTGGTTCCTCCCCTCCAGGGCCATCTAAAGAGAAAGGCCAGAGAACACACTCTGCACATACAGGGGAAGATCCCCTTTCTGGAAAACTCCCGGTGGTGTGTGGTGACCTCAAACCAGGAGAAGTCAGCAGTGCTGCGATTAACAGGGGTTATTGTTGTACTTCATGGGAAATGGTCAGAGTCAATTAACAGATGGAGCTAAATTTTTGGAAGTTTATTTCCATAAGTTCTTTTCTCTGTGTCATTACTCAGTATATTCAAACATTTTTATTGACTTCAATGAACTTTTTCTGTGGCGTTGGACTTAGTGTCAAACAGGCATGTAGGGGAGAGGCACTTCAAGTGATTTTAGATAGTTCTCTTTTGAGGTGCTATTCATTGGGGTACCCACATCAGACTACTGGAGACTAGGAAAATCCAGGTGTACCAAAGGTAAGTACTGAGACTGGAATTCTAGGAACTCAGTTCTGGTGAGTGGTCCAGAACAACTGTGGATGTCCCCACATGTGCGAGGTGGGTAAATGTACAAGGCATTAGAGTAGACAGGAGTGAGTGAGCTATAAGGCCCGAGAAACTGGACAGTCTGAGAAGCAGAGCAATGTAAGGTCTTGAGCCTGTTTCTCAAGACTTCCAGACTCCACATATTGCCTTGAAGCAGAGACAGAGCCCTTACCTCAGATGGGGAGGGGCACAGCTGCCAGACCATACCAACCAAACCAGGATTCATTTGAGGGGTGCAGAGTTTCAAAATGCTGAAGAAAGAGGAGGTGGTTCTTCTGGAGGGGTGGGATGTATGGCAGTGACTAGGAGCAAGGGTCAAAGGCTCCTCCTGTCCCTGGCATTGCAAGTCCTCTCTGGGAATAGGGATGGATGCAGATAGACAGCTGAGAACCTAGGGCAAGATCCTGGGAATCAAGGAGCTGAATCTCCTTGAACTTCTCTCATCCCCTCTTTTTGTGAGACAGTCCTCACTGCCTTGGAGTGGTTCTGGCTGAGTTCTTGAGTCCAATTCTCAGATTTTCATGTAGGACTCTCCTGCTGGGATCTATGGTAAAAGATGAGCACAGCAGGAATTTGGGGAAAGGGTATGGGAGGATCAGCTCGGAGGAGACCCACCAGTGCCCAGCTTCATGCCCATGGGACAACAGTGATTGGGGCCCTGTCCTGGGAGAGGCTTCATGGTCTCACCCTCTCAGCTGACATGACCTCCCCAGAAAACACTGCTCCAAGGAAATGGGATTTTAATGAATCCCCTGGGGCATGTCTCTCGGCCTGCCACTTCTGCAAACTTCACCACTAAATGAGCTTTGAGGCCTGCAGACTTGTTCTATACCACGTGTACTTGCTGAGGCTGTGGCTGACTAAACCAACACTGTCAGAAAGTCATCCAAGAAGCAAGGTCCCCTGTTCACACCTCTGCCCAAATTATGAAGTGTGTCTTGTGGGTTCTGTAAATAAGGCCACTCCCAATCGTGCCTCTAGCTTGGACTGTTACCATGTAGAAGGAGTTAACTATGCCGTTTTTCTGTTATTATTAGGTCTTTCTTCACTGACCTTCAGTTAGCATCCATCACTGACTTCCTGGACCTTCCTATGCTTTTTCAGTGTTTTGTTTCTCCTTTCTCCTGCCTCTCATGCATGTGCACACACGTGCATGTGCCTGTGTATTCTGTGACCAGTGGGGGCGGCTGCTTGATGCCATAGCACCTGCCTTTACCCATCACTGCTTTAGTTCACGCCTCTCATCTCTCACCCAGGTCTTTGCTTTATCCTCCTCATTCTTCAGTCTCTCTTTAATAATTCATTTCACCAGTAAATGCTGACAACTGCTGACGTATCTTTTTTCTTTCAAATTTAAGAAAATTTAAGATAAGTTTTTATTTTCTAATTATAAAAAGATAAACCCAAGAGAATTATTGCATAAGTACAACAGAAGAAATATAATAACATGCCTTTTTGTTTTTCTCATTTACAAAAGAACATGCTCAAAAGAAGGATTTACCCATGTATTATTCACAATAGAAGAAAAACTGGAAACAACCCTTATGCCCATCAACAGTGAAATGGTTAAATATTCACACAAAGGGACACTATACAGCAATCATTTGTTTTGATTGAACCAGAAGGACTTACAACAAAAGGAATAACTCAGAAATCTAATATTAAGGGAAACAAGAGAGAGTCCTAAGTTTTACATGTCATGGTACACCTTTATAGAGTTAAAAACTTAAATAAAGAGAAACTTTTTATGAATAGATGTACATTGAACAAACCTATATAAAAGTGAAGGAAAGTGATGGACATAGCATTCGGTGCAACATTCATTACAATGAAAGGAGGCAGAGGGCTGCACTGCTGATGCCCTCGTGGGGAGATGAAGGATATTGTCCTAGCTTTCACTTTGGGTGGTGAGTTCATGGTAATACTCAATTATGTCTCTACACACCTGACTTTCAACACTTCTTTCTGTTTTACAGGTAAAATAAAGATCACAGGTGATTAAATCCCTCAGGTTCATACTTTTTTTCACCTCTTCATTACCTTATGTAGAAACTATTTTTACTCCTTGGTCTTTTATTTCAGAGGAAAAAGTACTCCTTCACTTTATGGTTGGCTTCTCCAATTATTACTGAGATTCTTTCTCATCTTCACTTTCTGTTCTCTCT